AAAAAAAAAAAAAAAAAAAAAAAAAAAAAAAAAAAAAAAAAAAAAAGAAAGAAAGAAAAAGAAAGAAATTCAATAAAATCAACAAGACTGATTTCTCTGTGGGAATATCAACAAAATTCATGTTGGATCTTTCTATTGGTCCTCTCAACTGATAATATTTTTCTATAGTATAACAGAAATACAAACACTAGCTATATCAAAGGGGAACATGATTATTTTAAAGACATATCAGACAGCATGCAAAATACATGAGTATAATATGAAAATCACTGACTCAGCTCTAACGGGACATCAGCTATTACTACTACATCTGCTAGGATTGGCATATGCACTCTTGAATGTTTTCCACAGCTCAAAGTCTTCTCACCAATCACCTCTCATCAATGACTACTGTCCACCAAGGTAAGTGTGAACATGATAACAGCAAACAGACATGGAGATAACCCTATTGTTACTCCTGACAGAACTGGAGCCCATATATATGACCTGTTTTCCACTGAGTCCCACATGCTGTCACAGAATGTCACTAGTAACCATGTTCTTGAGTTCAAGTAAGATTTGGAAATGCTATGTGGGACAACGAGACAGACCTCCAGACTCCTTCATGTCTATCAGGCATCTCTAGGAAGACTGAAGAGCAGAGCAGACATCACAATCTCAGAGCCCGGCGGTCACCAGGCAGGAATCAGGAAGGAGGCAGGAGAGTGCAGGGGCAGATGGCCCCATCTAGTGGCCTCATCCCTCTAGAACCCAGGCTGATCTTGACAAATCTTTCTAGAAAAGCTACAAATTCAGGCTATAATTGCAAAAGACCTGATGTGATGTGTAGTTGCCTCAAATTTAAGAAAAAAAATTAATAAATTAAAAAACCTGTCTCAAAAAAAAGAAAAGAGAGAGAAGAAAAAGTAATGAAGAAAAAAGAATAAATCACTGTAGTTTAAACACAGTGATTTTAAGGCAGACAAGAGAAACTCCATTTGGCAAACCCAGAATCAACTTCCCACCATCTGTGTTCCTCAAGAAAGCCCTAATCAGACATCTATTCATTTCCTAGAACTCTGTGGAACAGCAGTGGACTAAGATCCAGCATCCTGCTCTCCTATGGACTGAGTGTCTCTAACTGGAGTCAGGGATTACTCACACTTAAATAGACATTAATACCCTCTTGAAAAAACTGCTCTTCTCAACAGACTGGTAACAAATATACCAATATACCAACACAACAGCCTTTGTTAACTGTAGCAAAACCAAACATTTCCTTGATTGTGACAAACTGATCCTCTATGGAAAATGCTTTGTGTTTATAAAATAAATTTAAATCTGAAGACAACTATAAATTTCTAGAAATTTAGAACTCTGAATGAAACCAGTGATAGTCCCAAACTCGGTCACCCCTGGAACAGGACTTCTCTCAGGCAGAGAGCCTGGGTCCTGCTCCCCCTTTCCTCTTCATGTCTGCATTGTCTCCTTCCAGCACTTAATTCAGAGTCCAGTGGGTGAGGACAGGACACTGAGCACCAAGTCAGACTGCAGTGGAAACAGCACTAATGAACTCAGTCCGTGGTCCACTGTTTTCTTCCCTGATGTCTGCCTGGTCCTTTCTCACCATGGCAACCTCTCCTGACATGCAACACCCATCCTTATCCTAAGATTAGCCACATAATAATGCATCATATTTCCAGAGATACAAGAAAGTAATACCAACTCTAATTGTGACATTAGAGTTCCTTCTATTTATCTATTAGGGAAATTAAAACCTGCATGTTCCTATGATTTTACCCCTTGGGGAGGGTAAGAACAGTGACATTTCAAATTACAATAAAAATAGATAAAGCATGATTGCGAAATACTTCTAAATTCAGGATGCCATCCCACCTGTACTCACTTTAAAAAAAAAATCTTTTCAATCCCATTCCTTTCTTAATAGTTTTAATAATCAAGACAGGAGTCTATTTCCTTTATTACAGATGCTGTGTTGACTAGAGGAACAACAAAATACTAAAAAGTTCATGTTTGATAGAAGAATATACTGCAGTGATTGGAGAAACTGAGGCAGTATTGATATAAGGATTAGGATGATGTTAATAGTGAGTTTGAGCACAAACAGCTGAGGGTCACCCTCTCCACCACTGCTGGATGAACTGACACAGAAAATATCCCTGGAGCTGTAAAGGGTGTTCACACTGTCCAATCCGGTTGTCTTTCCAGTCTCAGGCAGAAGGCCCGGAGAGGGCCACTGGGACTCATTCAGCAGTTTAAGGACTGTCTTCAATTCTGTAGACACTGTCTTCAGCTCCTGACCGCACATCTGCTGTGTTTTGCAAAGCTCCATTCTTAGAGATACAGAATGCAACCACTGCAAAGAGAGAGGTTGAAGAAAGAACAAGAGGTCACCTTTCAGGTCTGAGCAGAACTTTCATTTATGATGTGAGCTCCGGACTCCAGGAGCCCCATTCACAAAAACTGTTAACAGTGACCAGCACCACACAGGGCCCTCCTATTAAGTCATAGAAAAGTTTAATAGGCCTCAGACTAATAAAAATTATTTTTTTATAAAAAAGCAGCTCATATTGGAGTTCTTCAAGATACTAATATAACAAAACAAAATGGGAGACCTAGAGAGACAGATATCTAGGCATCATACCAAGGTACCATATCAGGATGTACATTTTAGAACTGGGCTAGGAAATGGACGATTTGTATTTACTTTGCACTGTGACACTTTAGAAAGGGTTAGGGAGCCTGTGACCTGTGTGAGATCCCTGGAGCCCTTGGAAAGGCAGAAGGAAAGAGCTCCACAGTGCTGTTCTCTGACCTCCACAGGTGCCATGGAACCTGCAACACACACACACACACACACACACACACACACACACACACACACACACACGCACACACACACATGCACGCACACACGAACATCATTCACACAATAATACAAAGTTTTCTTTAGTGAAAAAAGAAAAGGTCTTGAAACCTGCGTATCATCTAAATTCTCTAACATTAATCATGGAGTAGAAAAACATTTAAACAACAAAGTAGTGTCTTTGCACTGGAGCCAGTGGTCTGTGGTACAGTTTCAAAGACTACATGTATGACACACATTCACAGACTTCACAAGCACACAAACATCAGACACTGGACTGAAAGGAATTTGGGGAGAGCACTGAAGATGTTTGCAGCTGGCCCATCCCAACAGCTGTGGAAGGGGCTTTACTTGCAGAGCTCATCCTGTGCCCCTGTTAATCAGGGTAGGTACAGGGGACTGACATTCGAGCTTCTAGAATTCATGGAGAGACAAACCAGGGAAGAAAACAGATGAACTCATGGGTGATGTTTCGACACAGTGTTGTTTTGTCATTTGTAGTACTGAAATGCAAAACCAAAATGAGCATCTCCAGTCGGCCACATAAGGAACATGCCTGTGCTGAGAATTACACAGAACAAGAGAGATCCAGCTCCGCTCTGCCTGGGACAGTCACACATGTAGGGAAACAGTGTAGGGTCAGGACACTCCTGAGTCAGTGTGATATAACTGACAGAGAAAGTCATGAGAGAATGTCCAGAGTGTGTCATGCAGTGGTTAGTTTGGTTGTGTGGCTTTCTTTATTGCTTTTGATTTATTTGTTCATATTTTATTTATTTTTCATTCATCCATTTGTTCATTCATTCATTCATTTGGTTTTTGTCAGTGTTTCACTATGTTTCCCTGGCTGTATTGTAACTTACTACATAGACCCTACTGGCTTGGACTCATAGAGACTCACCCACCTGTCTGCTGAGCAGGAATTAAAGGTGTGAGTCTCCACACCTGGAATTATTTACTTATTTTTAGACAGGGCAGGTCATTGCTAGAGGTCTGGGCTGGACATTAACTTACAGTACCTGTCTTAGCTTACTGAGTGTTGAGGTAACAGGGGTGTGCCACCTCGCCCGACTTCTCCTCTTCTTAAGGGGTTGTGTTTTCTCCAATGTTTTCTTTTCTATTAAGTGATTAAAAAGTAACATTGGGGGCTGAAGAGATGACTCAGCAGTTAAGCATGGTCCTTGCACAAACAGGAGAACCAGAGTTCAGATGCAGGCCCCCAGATGACAGGTAGAACATCGCCTGCATCCCTGTAACCCAGCACTGAGGGAGACAGAGGCAGGAGGATTACTGGGGCTTTCTGATCTTGCAAAGAAAACAATGTGAACTGTAGGTCCAAGGGAGACTCTGCCTCAGAGGACAAAGTGAGGGATGGAGAATGACACTCCCTGTCCTCCTCTGGCCATCGTGCATGTGTATTTGAACACATTCATGCCTGTCCTCTCCATGTCCTGTCCCTGTCCCTGTTTCTGCCCCCACCTCTGCCTATCCCTACCCCTATCTTTCTCTCTCATATACACAAATAAGAAGTTTAAATTAAATCTTTGAAAATAAAGATACTTTACTAATACAAGAACACGAATTATGGACTAAAATGATGCTATATGTTCTTCCAACTCTAAGGAATGGTTCCTTTCCATTTTCAGAAACAGTTATTTTGTTTCATATAATTTTTTACCAGTTAGATTTAAAAGCATGGGTTCCTGAGGTTGAGGCCAGTGTAGTGTGACCTCATATTTAGGGACTTGTGTGTTTTTAATCTGTAGGATGAGACTAATAGTAGTTCCTACCTTATAGATTTATTACTGTGAAGGGAAGGTGTGACAGACATTGAATAAGAACTAACTGTGTCAGGCACTTAGAAGTGAATGCCCTGACACTGGTCAAGACCCAGTCTATGGCTGGGCTCTTGTGCTTAACACAGACACAGGTAAGTCTATGGAGGCAGCCTGAAGGACGTGGAATTACACTTAATTAAAGACACAGTCCTAGCTGGGCGGTGGCCGGTGCAGCACACGCCTTTAATCCCAGCACTCAGGAGACAAAGCCAGGCGGATCTCTGTGAGTTCGAGGCCAGCCTGGGCTACCAAGTGAGTTCTAGGAAAGGCACAAAGCTACACAGAGAAATCCTGTCTCGAAAAACCAAAAAAAAAAAAAAAAAAAGACATAGTCCTGTGGACAGCCAATCTTTAGTAAATTGAGGAAAATTAGGTGGCTGTAGAAGAGGGCAGACAACACTGGAGAGAATAAAAGAGCTTCCAAGTGCAGTAACAGGACAAGGGCAGTAAAGAGCCTGCGAGGCAGACACCAGTGTAGTGAGCAGAGGGGACCGGTGTGGAGTGTGGAGACACTGGCCATACCACAGTCCAGTTACAGTCCCGGCAGTCTCAGAAATGATCTTCCTCTAAAGCCTCTGCTCCCTAGGGCTTCCTGGAACAGCCACCTTCTAACACTGTCACCCCACCATACTTGCCTAAAAAAGACCTAAAAGGACCTGTCTACTAGCTTATATGCTTTGTGATACACTTCATCAGTTTTTAATAGAATAGGAACTCAGTGAAAGAAAACACTGAGGAAACAAGAGTGGATCAAGTCAACTCCTTCAACACCAGCTCCAGGACGCAAAACTTACACCTCAGCGACTACCTATAGGAGATGAGGATCAAGGGCCTTCTGTTCCTGTCCTACCGTAAATGCAGGAAATATGGAATGCTGAATATATCTCTGAGAAATGAGGGCAACAAGAAAGGGACTCATTAACCTTTATATTGGGATCCAACGCACAGAATGGAGGCCAAGCATTGTGGAACACACTGTAATCCCAGCACAAAAGAGTCTGAGGTAAGAGTGTTGTGAGTTCCAGGCCAGTCTGAACCACATAATAAGACTATGCCTCAAATCACCCAAACAATCAATGAATCAAATAGTAAAGAATTGACTTAGTAGCAAAAGAGAACATAGAGAGAGTTTCTAAAGATTGTTAGTTCACAAGCTCATAAGATCTCACCAACATTAGATCGACAGCTGTGGAACCTGCATGGGACCAGACTAGACCCTCTGCATAGGGGAGAGAGATGTGTAGCTGGGTCTGTTTGAGGGGCCCTTGGCAGTGGGATCAGGATCTATCCCCAGTGCATGAGCTGGCTTTCTGGATCCTATTACCTACAGTCCGACAATTTGCTCACCCTTGACGCCCTGGGGAAGGGCTTGATCCTGCCTCAACTGAATGTACCAAGCTTAGCTCTTCCTCCCCACCCCCACTGGGAGTACTTACCCTTTTGAAAGAGGGAATGAGGGGTGGGAAGGGAGAAGGTAGGGGTGGGGGGCAGAGCAGGAGGAGGGATTGGAGGGGGATCTTTGGTTGGTATGTAAAATGAATAAAAAAAATTAAAAAAAAAGACTGTTAGTTCAAAAGTAATCAACACAATCCATGCCAGCTTACCTTAAAGACCCCGACTTCTTTTTCATAAGGATGTACTCTAAATTGGGGTGGGAAGAGGTGGGATAAATTGAAAGGAAAATTGAACATGTCATCAGAAACATCCATGATATTTTCTCCTAATCAAGGATATTGTTTCTGTTTTTGATTGAACTATTCCCTGGTAACCTTGGGTAATTCCTTCCTGTACCCCACAGGAAGGATATTCTTTCCATTCATTGTCTGGGATATTCATCCACTTGGCCTATTTTGATAGAATGAGATTGGTAAATTATTGTTCACTGAAACAAACAAAGAGTCTGGATTCTTTCTAATGAGCTGCTAGAGAACAAGCCTGTAAGGGAAGGATAAACAACTTTGGACTAAGGAAGGGACAACATTTGTGGATTTTTACTCAATTTCTATGTAATTCTCCCTTTCAGACATGATCTGATATGTAGCCCAGGCTAGCCACAGACTTGTAAATGCTGGTATTATAAACACATGACACTAGATCCACCTTAAACAATCACTTTGAATGGGCACCTTTGAAATAACGAAGGGAAACATCTGAAATCTGACCGGCATATTTTTATTCCCCACTTCCTGTGAAACGGGTCTGTGATGGGCTCATGCATGGTGTTTTGTAAAGTGCATGGCTGAAGTTCTTACACAGGGAATGGACTACACAGAGAGAAACACTGTGTACACATGAACAACTCATGGAGAGGGCCACGTAGGCCTGGGTGCCACCTTCAAATAGTCTGTTCCAGCATTAGTCAGGGGCACCCAAATAATGTCTCATTTGCCTAATCTACTATGTTCCAGAACATTCAACAATATCATCATGGGAAACAAGAGAAATCACAAAGGTAGGAAAGAAGAGAACACATCAAAGTCACTGCTCCTGGATGCAGCCTGATTATTGCCATGTGATCAGACAGAAATGCAGAATCTCCCCTAGTGCCCTGGTGCAGGTAATGAGGGATCACCACATACTGGAATAAGCAGGAGACAGGCTGGGCAGCAGGTGAGGCCCCTCTAATACCTTATCACTAATCTACCAACCCTAAACAGAGCCCATGGGATGCGTTAACTGCAAGGAAAGGGAGGATCAGAGACCAGGTCTTTGCTTGTGTGGGCCTCCTGTATACTAGGCTGGCCTCGAACTCACTAGTTCACAATGACCTTGAACTTCTGATCTATGTATACCTCCTGAGTGCTTGGATCACTGGTGTGTCCACTGTGTCCATTTGAACATTTACATCATAACATTTTTCTGATTATGAATGGCAGCAATGCTTATACTTTCTCATTCATCTTCACAAATTTTCTTCAACCAGGAAACTGAGTCTAGGAATTTGATCAACTGGTTAAAATGTATGCTACTATTAATAGGCATGGGCATGCACACCTTAATCCCAGGACCTGAGACGTGGAAGCAGGAGAATCAGGAACAACAGAATTTTCCAGGCAACATAGCAGTATCAAAGCCAGCCTGAGCTCCACTGGATTCTGTCTCAAACAAACATCCTGAAAACAAACCTGTGTGCTGAGATAGCTTGACCTCTTAAGAGTCCAGATTATGATACCACTTATTATGAATTTAACTCCATATTTCTCCTTGCTGCTAAGCATGACTGTTACTCAGGTAACTGAGGGCAAGAACCACCTGGATATGCAGAACCATTAAGTATATCTTGCTAAGGGAGCAGAACCAGAAGGCTGCTCCCTTAGCAACATATACTTAATGGTTTCTGATATTTAACTAGTATATACAGGTTCTTTCCATATCTGCCAGACAACTGGATGCTAATGTCAATTAGATCATTACATTTTTAGTGTCAACCTGGGCATGTGACACAGGCCTATAACCCCAGTACTCAGTAGGCTAAGGCAGAAGATTGTGAGTTTGAGGCCATCCTGAGGTATGAAATAAGATGATGTCTCAAAGGAGGGGGGCAGTTATGGTGGGATTCACTCCTTTTATTTTAGTCCTGAAAGACAGAGGCAAGAGGGTCAGGAGTTCAGGGTCATCCTCAGCTTTGCAGTAAGTTCAAGGTCAGCGGGACTCCATGAGACTCTGTCTCAAAAAACAAACAAAAGAAACTTACTTTTAGCCTTTGTGTTATTTTTTGGCTATCAATATGTATAAAAGCATTAATTAGGGCATTTGGCCCTATAAAGATCTCCATTTTGTCTTGAGGGTTTTAATGATGCTGGGTGGTTTTGGGCAGTTCAAACCCAGGGCCTTGCACATGCTAACAAGGGCTCTGCTGCTTCCAACAGCCAAATAATCCTCACAACCCCCAGGCTGGCTTTTTTCTTACCTCACCCACCATTTCTCTTGCACTACTTACACATACTAAAACAAACATTGCTTCATCCTGGAACCAAACGAGAAAAATCCTATTGATGATTTCCCTCTGCTATTTGTAAATAAAGACCTCTGGCAAGAATCCTGGAAGCAGAGGGCCTTAGATTTTTCTCAAGAAAGTCTAGAAAAAAATCATGCAAAATTCAGAATGTCTAAGACCTTAATACCTTATTGGAGGTTTGTGTGTGGGAAAAAATATCACCAGTGGGCTTTATAGAGAATGGTCAGTGGGTAGAAAAACAATATTAAGAGACTGTAAGTGAACATCTTGAATTCAAACATCTTTTGTAAGTGTCCAACTCTTAATTTCTTTATATTTATATATTTATTAATTTGTTTATCTACAGTTTTTGAGACAAGGTCTCACTATGTAGCCCAAGTGGCCTAATGGTCCAGGCTGGCCTCAAACTTCTGATATTTGTTTTAACTTCCTGAGTCCTAAGAATAAGGAAGATACCACTATAAGTGACTTCTTTTCCTTTCTTCTTCTTCTTCTTCTTCTTCTTCTTCTTCTTCTTCTTCTTCTTCTTCTTCTTCTTCTTCTTCTTCTTCTTCTTCTTCTTCTCCTTTTTTATTATACATACAGCGTTCTCCCTGTATGTCTGCTTGCCTGCCAGAAGAGGGCACCAGATCTCATAATGGATGACCCTGAGACACCATGTGGGTTCTGGGTATTGAACTCAGGACATCTGGAAGAGCAAGCCAGTGCTCTTAAACATTGAGCCATCTCTCCAGCCCCCCTTTCTTCTTCTTTTTTTAATGCAAATGTCTGGGAACTAATTTTACAGACAAGATCTTTAAATACAAATTGTTTCCCAGAAGATATATAAGTTAACATGGCTAATAAATTGGAGAGGAATATACTTACAGTGTAATTATTCTTTGAGGATATCAAAGTGCTCTTCCAATCTGCTCAACAAGAGAGTTAATATTGAATATGGTGGGAGACACACTGGACAGCATGTTTTGAACATCATATATTTGAAGTGCATTTGAAATGTCTATTTTATAACAAGGAATCTATTGTTTTCAATGTTTCTCTGTGTCTATGTATGAAACACACAACCCTATATCAGACATACACAAGGTTTGTAACATCCTGACAAGGAGCCCCTTCACTGCATTTTACAGATGGAGCAGCAGACATCACATGCCTCCATATTTCTACTTTTAGCAAATGACAGACATCTCTGCTGGCCATGTACACACAGTGCCACACAATGAGTGGGAACACTACAGGTCTATGGAAGTCCCCAACTACTGCTAATACTGGCCTGCCCAACAGAATAAGGTTGGATGACTCACAGTCCTCCTCATTTTCACATTACTGTGCTTACATGCTATTCAATGTGAGAGCTCTTCCAAGGAACCAGAGGCAATGACTAGGTTTAGGGAACATCTTCAGTGTAGGCTCTGTTTTTTGACTTAGGCCCTTAGTAAGACCTTCCAGGAATAATGATGTGGAACCTGGTATTTCTAACCCCCCTCTCCCATTCCTGAATGTAAGAAATATCCTTCAGAAATCTACATCACAACATGGTTTGTGGAAGAACATTATTCAAATATATTTGCTGTAATTCCTATTTCCACCAAGGAAATAGAAACAAAACTTACTGTCTCCTCCCCCATTGCCTCCCCCAGCCTCTAAGCAGGAACGGCTCCTTCCTACCCATTTCTGCCTCAGCTGACTCCTCTGAGAAATGTATCCAAAGATTGGCATTGTCTGAGCAAGTGATGTGTCCTATTATTCTGAACAGCTTTATCAGGATTCAGAATTATCTCATACTTCCCATTCTAGACTCCTGAACTCCTCTGACACATACAGTCAATATTAACACATGGAGGATTGAACACTCAGTTAAGATTACAATTTATCAAGACAAGGGTCATTTGACCTTTTAGGAGAGGGACCTGGAAGTTTCTCTCTAACCCCCTAACTGCAGGACTTATTTAACCCCAGATTATCCGTACTTCTTTCCATGATGAAGAGCTCAATGAACAACATGGATGGCCCAATTTCAGGATGGATGTAAATGGTCAAGAGTCTCCCTATCCTGACCCTAGTTCTCAGTCAGTCCTTAAATTTCATCAGATAGTCATGTCCAGCTGGACCAGCTTCCCACCATCCTCATCAGCTATCCAGGATCAATGATCCACCTAATAGTGGATAGTCTGGCTAATAGTGAATCCTTGGGGACTCTGATATATATAGAGAGGTGAGTATCTTCCATGTTCAAGCTCTTGCACAGCAGAGGAGAATGTAAATTATGACTGGGAAGTTACAGACTTTGTGAAGCTGTTGTTGGCCCAGCTAACAACTCTTCACCTATATTATGCTTCTGACTTGACTCAGTGTCTGTGTCCTACCGACTCTCATGATAAGGACTCTGGGTCCTGAACCACATGGGTTGTACCTGGTGTGTGAGTCTACGTGTGTGCTGGAGGAGTAGAGGTGGAGACTCCGGGTAATGTGGGTACATGGGTGGGTCTTGTTGCAATAGTTGTGGGTCTTGTTGTAGTTGTGGGTCTTGTTGCAATAGTTGTGGGTCTTGTTGTAGTTGTGGGTCTTGTTGTAGTTGTGGGTCTTGTTGTAGTTGTGGGTCTTGTTGTAGTTGTGGGTCTTGTTGTAGTTGTGGGTCTAGTTGTAGTTGTGGGTCTAGATGGAGGACTTGTGGAAATTTCTGGATTTGAAAATCAAAATAAACAAGGATCAGTCAAGCAAGAACAGGCAAGTGCTTCTGTTATACCACCCATGAGAGGCTGTCCCCAGAGAGGCTCCTCTCCTGAACTTCTGTTCTTTGTCATTGACCAACTAGGAGTGGGCAGGACCAATAGGAGGCAGCTACACTTATCACATGGAGCTGAGCACAGAGCCCATGTTCCTAAGGAGACACTGTATAAATGACAGGTGTCAGATCCTCAGATGTCTAAGCATAGCTGTGAGACTGTGAGATTATGAGGGGCTGGCACTGCTGTCAGTGGTGACTGACTTCACCCACATTTCCAGGCCCAGCATGTTCATTTCAGTCAGTCCTCAGAGGACACAACATACAGCCCTGCATCTTAGCTTGCAGATCCCACACAAGCCCCAACTAAATGGGATTTGCACAATTGGGTCAAGAGTGGATATTGTCTATGGTTCCTTCCAATGTAAGACAGACAAGGTGAATACCCCTTATCCAAGAATGCTTGGCATAGACTGAGAATTTAAATCTTGCTTAAATATTTGGAATATTTGCATATAGATAATATCTTATGGGTATGGCTCAAGTATAAACATGGATTGATGTACCATTCATATAATATATATATATATATATATATATATATATATATATATATATATATATATATATATCTTAAAAGGTTATTTTATAAACTGTGAATAATTCTGTACATGATACATTCATGATGTTGAGTTTTCAGGGTGAATTATCAAGTCCATACTCAAAAGGTTCCAGATTTTGGAGCACTGTAGACTTGGGATGTTTGGATTAGACAGGCTCAACTTACAATTGACAAGTCAACAGCATCCAAAGTGCTGCAAGGATCCAAACAGCTACTGATGGTCTCAGTGTGCAGAGTTCCTAGTCAGCAGCTAAGGCAAAGTGATGCTGGGATCACACAGTCAGCCAGGACTCATGCTGTCTGTGTTAACAGACACATGTGTTCCCTATAAGTAATCTCCTTTGATCTTGACTGTGCTAACTACAAAATAAAACCTCAGCAACAAAGAATAATTGCTTTAAAAACTCTTCTTGACCTTGAATACAGTGTAGTCCCTTAATGTAGTGTGTGCTTACCTTGAAATAAAAAACAAACAGAAAACCTGTAGTGTTCCTACTATGTATAGGGAAGTAGTGGGAGTAGAGCATCCCCCTTAAATTCAATACATTAATTTATTCATTTATTTGTGTGTTTGTGGGATGTCACAAATGCGGATGCCAGGGGATGACTTTTCAGAGTCTGTTCTCTCCTTCCACCATGTGGGCCCAGGGATTGAACTCAGGTCATCAGGTTTAGCAGTGGGCACCTTTCCCCACTGAGCCATCTCACTGGCCCTCAAGCCCCTTTTATGGAGAGGGTCAGATGAAAGGATTTTTGTCTCAGGGACATAAAAAGAGGTGTTCAGGAGCAAGCACTCATGTCAATCAATGAAAGTCACTGCTGACAACTTAGCAAGGAGTGGGTGTGGCTGTGCTGCAGTAAAACTCTTCCCAGCAGCAGGGGGTCTGTTTCTAACCTGGTCTGGTTAGTTTGCTGATCCAGTCTAATGTGTGGGCAGAGGCCTGAGCACAGTACACCCCCTCCCTGGAGAGCATAAATCTCTGAGGTGGAGAAAAGCAAGCATGTGAAAAATCTAGTCAGAAGATCACTGTGAGAACAAAGCCAGGAAAGAATCACCAGCTCAGGAGCTTTGCTTCTCTTGCCCTGGGGCATTTTTTTTTTCTCCCAGGTAGATGGGAAAGTCAAAGGAGCTGATGAGGGTCCCAGAGCAGCTGAAGAGGAAGCTCCACGTGTTTAAACCATGAGAAGATGTGGACTTGGTTGTTAAAGGAGGAAACAGTTGCTGGCTCAGTTAGGGACTACAGTGACTCAGGGTGACTTTGTAAGCACTGACCTGCTAACGAATCTCTAAGCTCCATAAAACCTTCAATTAATGAACTTAAATTAGTAATGCTATGCTGTAAGGACATGCCTATCCTACTTCTGGTGCTGGGGCTCTAACCCCAGAGTTTAGGAGGGAATGTTTACTGGACAACTGCCTTCCCAAGCTTCAGCCAGAGGCCTTACTAGGTTATTGTGTTTGCAGTTCTGGGACAAAACCCAAGGGTTCAGGCATGATAGACACATTTATACACAGCCCCCAAGGCAGTTTACTTTTTTAAAGGGATTTATCTGTGTGTGTGTGTGTGTGTGTGTGTGTGTGTGTGTGTGTGTGTGTGTATGCCTGTGTGTTCCTGTTTGAACATGGGTTTATTCTCATGTGAGTGGGCACCCTTGGATGTCAGAATCAATTAACTTCAGCCAAGTTAGTAACATAATTTCACACCTGTGATAGGCACTAGGAACCTTATGTCTCCTCCCCAAAGCTGTCTCTATACATCATTCTTTCATACTCCATGACTAGCTTCTTCAGGATTCCTTGAGTTGCCTCCCAGCCATAGTTTTGAAAGGCAGCTTCTTGCCCCATCAGAATGGACTTCATCCTAACAAGAAATGTGGCGCATTTCTATAATACCATCACTGGGGAGGCTAAGGTGTGAGCAAGAAGTTCCAGGTCAGCCTGATTTACAAAGCAAGGCCCAGTATAAAAATCAAGAAATCAGTCAGTTAATAAACAGAGATCCAGTAAATTGATTCAATGGGTAGAGGTTCTTGACTTGCAAACATGTTCAGCTGACTTACATCACTAGAACTCACATAAAATCATAAAGAGAGTACCAAGCACAAGAGTTTGCCCTCTGGCAAATTCATCATGGTATGCAAACCCATCTCATGCACATCACACAATAATAAATGCAGTTTTAAAAATTCAATTGAGGAACCGGAGAGATGGCTCAGAGGTTAAGAGCACTGACTGTTCTTTCACAGGTCCTGAGTTCGATTCCTAGCAACCACTAGATGGCTCACAACCATCTGTAATGAGATCTGGTGCCCTCTTATGGTCTGCAGTCATACATGATGTATTCATAATAAATAAATAAATCTTTTTTTAAATAAGTGGCCGGGACTATGTTCATAGCAGCACTATTTGTAATAGCCAGAACCTGGAAATAACCTCCATACCCATCAACTGAAGAATGGGTTAAGAAAATGTGGTACATATACACAATGGAGTACTACTCAGCAGAGAAAAACAATGACTTCATGAAATTTGGAGGCAATGGATAGAACTAGAAAATATCATCCTGAATGAGGTAACCCAAACCCAGAAGGTCAAACATGGTATGTATTCACTCATAAGTGGAATCGAGATATAAAGCAAAGAACAATCAATCAGACTAAAACCCACAGAACCAGGGAGGCTATATAGCGGGGGTGGGGTGGGGTGGGGGGGACGACCCTAGGATGACTGTGGCTCATAATAAGTTTTGGTTTTACTCAATTACTGGGCAAGCCTCAATCAAACATTT